GACAGAGGTAATGCTTGTTGGGTATGTTGGAAAATCTGGTAAAAGTAGATAGATATTCAGAGCTCGAATGGATCCTTGTTCACTGGAGAGGAGGCATATTCTTTCTATATAAAAATCTTTATTTCTAAAGGGAAAGGTACACAGGAAATCTATAAAACAGCAAACACTTAAGACTACATCCTTGCTGTTATAAGTACAACAACAGACTGACTGACCACACGGTTGGTAATGGAGATTCTTCTTTCTTCTTGACCCTAGAAGGAAATCACCTGAATGCATTAACCAATGATTATGAGCAGGGGTCATTTCCTGCAGGAGCGCACAGGAGCGGAGCTCCAGCAGTAAAGAGCCCAGGGGGCGAGGACATGCAACAAGCCCTACCCCCTGCTCCCAGCAGCCCTCAGTCAGAGCAAGAAGCAGCCAGGTAAGTTGCAGAGCTCCCCCCAGCCCCCCGGTCCAAAACAGTCCAGTGGCACCTTTAAGATCAAGTTTTATTCAGGTACAAGCTCTCCCTCCTCTACGAGGACAGATCTGAACGTTCCCCCCCCCCAACAGCTAGCAATACAAAACAGTCCAGTGGAGCCTGAGTGGTGGGTGTTGCCTTCTGACACACTTCCGGTGATGTCAGGGGGTGTGGCATATACAAATGTTATGCTAATGAGCTCCTGCACCTCTTTTTCTACGAAATGACCCCTGATTATGAGTAAATCAGCCACAAGGTATAGATAGGGACTCTGGGGCAAGTGATGCTCTGTCATCTTGGTGCTTGGGGGGGTCAACAGTGGGAGGGCTTCTAATGTCCTGGCCCCACTGGTGGACCTCCTGATGGCACTGGTATTTCTGGCCACTGGCCGTGTTGGCGGATGGCTGAGATGACCGATGGCAGACCTGGTGCACCTCGTCCTCCGAGGCGTCGGAGCCGACCGTTGCTTGCGTGCGGTGGACCGCCTTGGCGCGGCGGTCTTGGTGGGCCTTTTCATACGCGGTGGCCTCCCGGATTGCCTTATCTAGGTCCAGGTCATCCTGGCTTACCAGCTTTCTCTGAAGCTTAGGCTCCCTTTGTCCCACGAGGAACTGGTTGAGGAGAGTTTCAGCTAGGTTGGAGAAGGAACACCTGGTTGCGCCTCGCCGCAGAGCTGCCAGGAAATCTGAGGCGGTCTCGTCGGGGCCCTGGACCTTCACAAAAAAGTTTGGGAGCCAGGTGGTTGGTCAGCGCCTTGACCAAAGAGTTGTAAGACTTGTTTTTGGTCAGTCTGGGCGCTATTAAGTCCTTAAGCACGAGATGGGTCTTCATCCCGCAGTGGCGCAGAAGGTACGCTTTCTTTATACCTGGATCCACTACGTTGTGGATGGTGAAATGGCTCTCGAGAGTTTCCAGCCAGGTTTCCCACTGCGAGGGTTGGGAGATATCAAAAGCTGGGAGGCTCTCTGATGCGGCACCCATCTTACGGATCCCACGTGGAAGCGAGCGGCGGGAACTAGCGGCTTAGAGAAGGAGCAGTGCGGTGCTGCTCTCGGGGTCAGCGGTGCGATGCTCGGAGCTGGGAGCGGTGCGATGAGCAGCACTTCTCGAAGAACCTTCGATGCCGGTGGCGGTGGCGATTTCTGCGTGGCGGCTCAAGGCGATGCTCGGAACGTGGTCTCTGTTCCGAGGGAGATGGATCCCACCTTCATCGCCAGTGAAAAGTACGCAGACGGAGAGTGATTTCAGCAAAGCGTACTTTATTCGATCAGGAACAAGATAACTTTAGCCGGCTCGCAGGCCGGCTTATATTCCCCATGAAACCACCACCCATAACCCCCCCCCCCACTTCCCAATAAGTTATTTACAGTGGCTGAGAGTCCCATAGGCTCTCGGCCGGGAACCTAGCCCCCTGATTGGTGCAGGCTAGGATCCTCATAGTCCATTGTCTTTTCAAGCGAAGCTCGACGTTGGCGCTTGACCTCGTGGAGCCCAAGCTGGCCACGCAGTCTGAGCTGAGTATATTACACTTCTGAAGAACTTCCTTGCAGATAGGCTAGGCAACCTGAGGTTACATATCAACTGGCCAGATTTGGCTGGCTTGCTGCAAGAACAAGAAAACCCTTATTAGCTCAGGCTGAAAATTGTACCTCTTTGCCAATTGTTTTGTATTTTCAAAAATCTCCAAGATTTCAAGTTGTATCTTAGCCTTATTTTATTGTAGTCTTTATCACCTTATGGTTTTAGTTCTATATAAATTGCTGGCTTTGGCTGTGAATAAAACCCATTCAAAATGCGATTCATGACATGTTAAACAATGCAGGAAAAAGGCCAGTGTGGCATGGGTTTGAAATCCCCATTCTCCCATGAGCAGGGGTCGTTTCGTAGAAAAAGAGCTAGGGGAACTCATTAGCATAAGCCACACACCCTGACATCACCAGAAGTGTGTCATAAGGCCACACCCCCTGACATCACCGGAAGTGTGTCATAAGGCCACACACCCTGCCCCCAACGGTCCCGGCCGCCGCCGGCCTTGCAGCTCCACTGCCAAGCCCCATGAGGGGTGCGGCGGTGGACCTGCAAGGCCGGCGGGAGTGCAAGGAAGCCCCGCGAAGGCCCTCCCTGGCCCCAGGTAGGCAGGGATGGGGAGAGGCAGGGAGGAAGCAACTTACCCTCCCTCTTCTCCTGCCTCCTCCTGGCTGAATGAGGGCCGGAAGCGGGGCGGCCGGAAGCAGGGGGCAGGGCTTCATCATGTGCCCCGCCCCCCGTACCTCACCCGGGGGAACTGCGATCCCCCCCAAAATGACCCCTGCCCATGAGGCTCGCCTGGTGACCTTGGGCCAATGCGGCTTGCTGTGGAGAGTCAAAGAAAAAAAAATCAGGCCATCTGACTTGGTAGCCCTAAGAAAACGCACCTTGCAAATGGCTGTGTTGGGTAGTAGGGGGCCAACGCTTTGCTGCCTTTCTATTATTGGTCCCCACAGTCACAAAGGAAGGGTCTCTCACACACTGGCCAGCTTCTGACTTGTCTTGGGATCTTCATTTTTTGCTTTACACTAGCCAAGCACACCTCCAAATAGGTCAGTAGAGCAGATGGTGTCTATTTTATGAAGCACATGACTTAGAACTAATTCAGCTTGTGACTCTAGCATGCCCTTTCACCTAGAATCTGAAGTATGTTTCGTGGGTGTGTCCCCCCCCCCCAATCCAAAAACACCCACTGACAGAAAGGACTGGGTGCTCGTGCTGGAATAACAGCTTCCGCCAAAACATTTAAAAGCTCTGTTGAGGACTCTTGAGGCTCAAACTGCAAATACGCTGTGAGAGCTGTGATCCATCTGGTGTTGCCTGCAGGTTCGTGTAGTGGTTAAGTGTGTGGACTCTAATCTGGGAGAGCTGGGTTCGATTGCCCACTCCTCCTCATGCAGCAGCTGGGTGACCTTGGGTCAGCCATAGATCTCACAGAGCTGTTCTCTTGAGAAGTTCTCTGAGAGTTCTCTGAGCCCCACCTACCTCACAGGGTGTCTGTTGTGGGGAAGGGAAAGAAAGCCTCTTGAGTGAAGGGTGTGGTATAAATCCAATCTCCTCCTTCTCCTCCTCTTCTTCTAAAAAAGAGGCTGCAAAGTTAATTGTACAGCAAAGTACAGGGGAGGGGTAACTAATCCCCCAGGCCCTTTTTTGCTATCAAAGTTGTCCCCACAGACAGCGGAATGTTTATTCTTTATTTATTTATTCTTCTTTATTTTTAAACCTATGAAAGTAGAGCCACCTTTTCTTCAATAGACCTGCTGTACACCACTTCCCCAATAGTAATAGTAATTGAATTATTAATCTGTAGAATGATTAAACTAGGAAAGTATTAAATTGTTAAACTGTTAAATTTATGGATTAGTGTTGGACAAAATTGATAGGTTATTAAGTATAAACTATACTGTTAGAGGGCTAAATTACTAGAATATATATCTGTAATTTAGCAGATGCATGTTAAACTGTTCAAAATTACCCAGAAACCTATTTTGTTCTTTAATAAATAAATCATTATTTGTTTACACTTATCCCAGCAATCAGAACAGCTGTTAAATTTATGGGTTAGTATTGGACAAAATTGGTAGGTTATTAAGTATAAAAGGGGAAGTCGTGGAAGTCGTGATAGCGTTCCTGGGATCCCAGATCACCGCAGACAGTGACTGCAGCCATGAAATTAAAAGACGCCTGCTCGTTGGGAGGAAAGCGATGGCGAACCTAAACAGCATGATAAAAAGTAGAGACATCACCCTGCCAACAAAGTCCGCATGGTCAAAGCAATGGTATTACCAGTAGTCATATATGGCTGCGAGAGTTGGACTATAAGGAAGGCTGAGCTCAGAAGAATAGATTCTTTTGAACTATGGTGCCGGAGAAGATTCTTGAGAGTCCCTTGGACTGCAAGAAAATCAAATCAGTCAATCCTAAAAGAAATCAACCCTGACTGTTCCCTGGAAGGCCAGATAATGAAACTGAAGCTCAAATACCTTGGCCACCAAATGAGAAGGGAGCACTCACTGGAGAAGACCCTGATGCTGGAAAAAACTGAAGGTCAAAGAAGATGGGGGCGGCAAAGGATGAGATGGTTAGACAGTGTCATAGATGCAACGAACATAAAACTGAGCGAACCTCAGAGGACGGCGGAAGACAGGAGGGCCTGGCGGGAGCTGGTCCATGGGGTCGCGAAGAGTCGGACTCGACTGTGCGACTGAACAACAAATACTGTTAGAGGGCTAAATTACTAGAATACATATCTGTAATTTAGCAGATGCATGTAATTGGTAACAAATTGTATGCATGTCAAAAGGGTTTTCTATAATAAAAATCGATTTCTCTCTGTCTCCTCCCCCACTTCCCCAACTCTCGCGCAACTTTCTCTGGCACTGAGTCGCTAAGGTGCTTCCCCCACACCCACCCCGCGATATTTATTCTGCAGCTGACTCCGCCGAGCGTTAGAGGGCGCTGCCGCTTTACGTAGCTTCCTGAGCCCCCCTTTCCCCTTCCGGCAGAGGCTGCCTTCGACCTAGGTGACGGGGAGTCATGGCAGCGGCAGCAGGGCCGCCGGCGACAATAGCCTCAGGAGGCGGCGGTGGCGACGAGCGGAGCAGTACCCGGGAACGCCTTCTGGCCGCGTTGGACGACTTGGAGCTTCTAGCCCGGTGGGTTTCCCTCTGACGGGCCAGGGCGAAGTCAGGCTCCGGAGCCGCGCCGCCAGGGGGCTGCTTGTTGACGCTCAGGTGGCGGTGGGTGGGTGACCTGCGCGCTCTCTGCGCATGCTCAGCGCTGGAGGAAAGGCCGCTTTGCTTTCAGCCGTCTTACGTCCTCGCGGGGGGACGTGGGGTGGTCCCTGGACAAAAACTAACCGGTTTATGTTGCTTTTGCAGTGCACGCTCCCGTGCTGAGGGCATTTCTGGAGATTAGGGGGCGGGAGGGGACCTCAGTGAGGCATAATGTATTAAAAGCCATTCCCTAAAGCTCGCATTTTCTCCAACTGATCTGATCTTCGTAGTAGAGCAAAGTTTGCAGCCACTCCCCCTCCAAGATTTAAAGGGCTCTCTAGCTGATCGGCGGGCCTTTTAAATCTTGCAGGAGTTGAGGGAGAGGGCGGCTGCTAGATGCACGCCTTCCCTGAACTCCCAAGTGGCGATTTCACCACTTGCAGTTCAAGCGAAATCACCGCTTGGTGTTCAGGGAAAGTGTGTGGCTGCCCCTCCCCCCCCTACAAAATGCCCCATCAGTCCAGAATTTCTGGCTGGGGGGCTTGTTTGAGTCCATTGGCACCTTTAAGGCCAACAGAGTTTTATTCAAAGTGTAAGCTTTCCTGTACACTTTCTATAAAACTCAAACTTTGTTCTGCTGCTTCATACTAACATGGCTACCCACCTGAATTGATCTTTGTAGTGTGAAGGCCAGTTTGTATCCTGCCTTGAGCCTGCTGTGCAGGGAGGGTGGGATATGAATCCGATAAAATAAATAAAGAATAAATAAAATAATGCTGGGAGAGCTTCGGACTTCACTTGGAGGTTAACAAGCCTTTGTCGGGCCCACCCTAGGAGACTAGAAGCAGGACTTTAGAAGAAGAAGAAGAAGAAGAGATTGGATTTGTATCCCGCCCTTCACTTGGAGTCTCAGAGCTGCTTACAAACTCCTCTCCCTTCCCCTCCCCACAACAGACACCCTGTGAGGTGGGTGGGCCTGAGAGAACTCTGACACAAACTGCTCTTTTTCAAGGACAGCTGTGCCAGAGCTTGTGACTGTCCCAAGGTCACATCAGCAGGTGCAAGTGGAAGAGTGGGGAATCAAACCCGGTTCTGCCAGATTAGAGTCCGCACACTTAACCACTACACCACACTGGCTCTCTTTACAAAGAGCAAGGGAAAAATCACATCCAACCTCTTACACAATGTGCAGTTTGGGGGGGAGATGCTTAGTTCCAAAAGAACATGTGTGTAGTTCCAATGTTAAAGGTATGCAAAAGCAGTGTTAGGTTAGCTGATGTAAAAAATGACTGGTGCTAACCCTGTGAGAAATAAACCCAGAAGTATGAGCCAGTTTGGTGTAGTGGTTAAGTGTGTGGACTCTAATCTGGGAGAACCAGGTTTGATTCCCCACGCCTCCACTCGCACCTGGCTGGATGACCTTGGGCAAGCCGTAGTTCTGATAAGAGCTGGCCTTGAAAAAGAGCAGTTTCTGTCAGAGTTCTCTCAGTCCCACCCACCTCACAGGGTGTCTGTTGTGGGGAGGGGAAGGGAAAGGAGTTTGGAAGCCGCTCTGAGACTCCCAAGTGAAGGGCAGGGTATTAATCCAATCTCCTCTTCTTCTCCTCAAACCCTGGACCCTTCCTCCTTCCCTTCTCCGTAAGCTTCCCTAGTGCACGAAGGAAAATGTGTTGTCCCTTTAATAGTAACTTAATGAGTGGTAATTAGGGCCATTGGAGCTTTTTCACAGCATGAAGTTAAACAATATCAACAACTAATTGCTACCTAATCAAAGTGGTCTTAAAAAGTTAGCGGGTGGGGGTCAGTTTAAAGGTTGCCAGCCCATGATACTAAACAAGTATATATTTTTTATTTTTGATGCTTAGTAGACGCTGAGCTGCAGACTGGAAGGTCTGTAGGTCAGCAGTTCGAGACCATAGTGCTGTGTGATGGAGTGAGCTCCCGTCTCTGGTCCCAGCTCCTGCCATCCTAGCAGTTCGAAAGCCAGAAATTGCAAGTAGATAAATAGGTACTACTTTGGCGGGAAAGTAATAATGTTCCGTGCGCCTCAGTGTTTAGTCATGCTGGCCACATGACCATGGAAACCTATTTGGACAACGCTGGCTCTTCGGCTTGGGAATGGAGATGAGCACCGTCCCCTAGACTCGAATTCGGCTAGCTTTCGAGCAAGGGAAACCTTTACCTTTATTTATAAATATATATGTAGTGTTTCTGAGCTACAGGTTGTATTTCATGATTGCGTGCACATTTTAAAAATTTGTTTCATTTATATCCCAACTTTCTCCCCCGGGGGGGGGGGGGGCGGGGGGGGGGGCCCCAGGAGTGCACGCCTAAGGATGCGGTGTCCAGACAGACAGACAGCAACGCCCCAACCCTGCAAGCGCTGTCTCCACTCCTCACCTCAGCCCCGCAGCCCTTGAAGCTTCCAACAGCACCTTCAGGAGGCCGCTGAGTCCAATGCCTGCCCAACTCGCCACCTCAGAACTTACCTTCCTGTGGGCCCGCAAAAGAGGAGCAAAGCAACTGAAGGAGCAGGGGGGGCACGCTAAATGGATCGATATTGCTTTAAGCCCCCCTGCTGTCAGGAAATTGAAAACATATGCAGTAGCCAGGCCTGATTTTTTCCTTTTCTTTTTTGCAACGTGACTGGGAATGAATCTGCAGGTGTCTCCGTGCAGAAAACTGTGTGTGTGCTGGGGATGGAGGCATGGGGTTCATTTGCAAAAGATTAGGTATCTTCTCTGTTAGCCTGGGAGGGAGCATGCATGGTTGTGAGCGCACGTGTCCCGCAGGGAGATGGGCGCATATGAGCGTGGTTCCTGCCCAAGTGGGTGGGTTTATGTGCATCTGAAATGACCGAAAGGATGTGTTTGTAAAATAAATCAGCCTGCGAATGAAAGAGGCAATGCTTGTAAGTACGTGAGAAGGTCCGTGCAGAGCTCCGAGCAGAGGGGTGTGTGTGTGTGTGGGGCCCCCTAGATCCTGGCCCCCTCCCTCCGCCCGGAAGAGAACCCGGGGCTGCCCCCTGAGCCTTGCCTTGCAATTAGGAAGGGGGGGGAAGGACACCACTGGGGGAGACTCCTGCCGTACGTCTGAAGCGGGCCCTTTCAACTGCGCCTTGTGTCAGGCAGCGCATCCCCTTCCGGCGAGGAGAGCTGTTGCTCTCCTCGCGAACTCCCGGCCATCCATGCCGGGGTGGGGACCATTCTCCTGCTGCTCTCCTGCCGCTGAAGCCCTGCTGCCGAGGCGAGGGGGGGCCAGGAGGAGCCGGGCGGGCTTGCTGATCAGGCTGATCTGCCCCTTTTCTACTCCGCCTTCCTTTCCCAAGGCGGCTCAAGGGGCGGGGAAGGTATGGCGGCGGTGGGAGGAAGGTGGCGGGCGGCTTGGCCAGGTAGAGGGCGGCAGTGGGGCAGGGCAGCAGCTTTTGGGGGGGAGATCGGCGCCCCATCCAGGGCCCGGCGCTCTAGGCGATGGCGCTCTAGTCGAATGCCTAGTTCGCCAAGCGGGTGAGCCGGCCCTGGACTGACGGACAAAGCTATGTTATGCAGAGGCAAACCCAGGTTTGCCATACAGCCTCCACTCTTAGTTCACCCTGTTCCTCCTCCTGACCTACCTACAAGAAAACCATGATCCACTTTGGGGCCCTGATCTGAAGTTTGAGAAGCATTGCGCTCGGGGACACCCTTTAGCTATCCCTAAACCAAAAGGAACTCCTACCAGAATTTAATTTATTTACATTTGAACTTGAGGGGGTGAGTAATTTTTTTTTTGAAACCAAAAAGAAATGATGAAATAATTGAACTTCAGGGAACTTACTGTATTGTCTGTTCAATTAAAAAATAAACTTTGGAAATCTGGTTAAACGTATTCTGTAGCCAATTAAGATACCCGTTCACTATCTTAAACCAGTGTTCTTGCACTGTCTCTGGAAATTAAATCATTAGAGGTTTTGTCAGGCCATAAGAGTTATAAAAGGACATGTGGCAGGCATCAGGAATGTGCAGCTTGCCCTTGTATCATGGATACGGTTAGACAGGATCCCATCAAGTTGTGGAGCTACTGTTTATTTTGGAGAACTAACCCCTTTTCCTGTTACCATGCTTTGCTTCAGGGAGCTGATTGAAATGCTGGCGATTTCAAGGAACCAGAAACTGGCACAACCTGGAGAAGAGGTCCAGGTAAGCAAACTGTATAAAAATCTTAAAACAGTGTGGTGGCCATATGCACCATAGCACCTGCCGATACCTTTCCTGGTGTCTACCAAGTGTTTTTAGAAAGTGGGAGGGGCCAAGTTTGCATTTTGCTCAGCAAGGCTTTGGATTGGCCATTGGAGGTTTGATTGGCTGTAGATTTTGAAACATGTTGCTTTGGCAGCAGCTGCCAGCACAGTATAATAATCTTCAGTGTGGGACTAAAGGTCGGCTGCAGCAGCCATTTTGTGGCTGGCTCCACCTTCCGGGGCAGCCATGTTGTGTCCACAGGATCAAACAGGATGGGGACCCCTGTCTTAAAGGATACATAATATCTGTTCACTATCTTATCCCAGATAAGACCAGATCTTAAAGTAACAGATGCTAATATCCCTGTATAGCTTTCAGTTTCTGCTAATTAACTAAAATTACACATGTAATCATTTGTTATTGGACAGGTACTGGACCTGCTGATTCAGCGAGACAAACAGTTCCAGGAATTAATGAAGCTGGCTCTCGAGCAAGGGAAGATCCACCAGGAGATGCAACTCTTAGAGAAAGTGGTGGAGAAGAGGGACAGCGATATCCAGCAGCTTCAAAAACAACTGAAAGAAGCAGAGCACATCCTGGTGAGCCCATCTTTTAGACTGCTAACATCTGGGGATGCTTGCAGCGTTCACACTTACAGAGTCAGCCATGCAAAAGTGATAAAATAGTCCCCCAAAGAGAAAGGCAGGTTTACAAATCCTTTAAATAGATAAACAAATGAAGGTTTTTGTTAGGCTCCTGAATGGCTGTTGTGGTTCACATGTATTCATTACAGTTGCCTGTGCTACAAAATACCGTTGTAAATGCCCTCCCTGTGTGACCATTTCCCTAGTGTCTGGAGCTCTGTCCCAAACCCTCTTCTGAATCCAGTTATATTGGTCTCCCCTGCTTCACCCTGCTCTGCCCTGTTATACTATCTGATCAGAGATTACCGGTAGTGATTTCTGCCCACTACTCGGCATTTAGTCCACCATGGACACACTTCTTTGCAGACCTTATAGGAGCATTGTGCACATATGCCTGATTGCCATCTGGTATGTTGTATTATTTGTTTTGTATAGCTTAATAATTGGAAGAACGTTTTGACTGTTTTAATTGTTTTATCCATTTGTTGTAACCTGCCCTGAGCTCTGTGTTGGGGGCGGGGGGCGGGCGGGATAGAAGTCCAATTAATGAAATGAATAAAATCTCTTGAGAGATCTCTTTAGTTTCAATGTCTGCTCCCTTTCCCATCTCCCTTTGTGAATCTCTTGTTACATTTTAGTCCCAGGATGCTACTATCATATCTTAATTTATTTAGTTATGTATTTGCTTCCTCTATACCCCACCTTTTTCACTGATGGAGACCCAGAGTGGCTTACCTCATTCTGCTCTCCTACATTTTATCATCACAACCAGTGTTCCCTCCAAGCTGAGTTAGTGTGAGCCAGCTCACACATTTTTTGTCTTAACGCAAGAAGGATGGCTCCAGAGCAAACTAATTTATGCAGTAGCCAAATTGCTCACTCGCAACTTTAATGCCGGTAGCTCACAAAGTAGAATTTTCGCTCACAAGACTCCACAGCTCAGAGGGAGCATTGATCACAACCACCCTGGGAGGTAGGTTAGGCTGAGAGCACGTGACTGGCCCAAGGTCACCCAGCATGCTTCTGTAGAGTGGGGGATTCGAGCCTTGGTCTCCCAGATCCTAGTCCACCACTAACCCCTGCATCACCCTGGCTCATGTCTCCTCCCTACACCTAGGGTTGACTTCCATACACCTGCCTCCTCCTGTGTAGAACTGAAGTTTCTTTTATCTGGCCTTCTCACCCTTTGGACGTTGGGGGGAAGCTGGGGAAGAGGAATAATTTTCTGAACAAATGGGTGTTACTACAGCGGTGCTCCCTGGTGTATCTTCATTGCCATGGTGACTATTATCAAAGATTCTCTCCAAACATAAGGGCGAGGAATTCACTTCATTAATAAATTAATTATATAAATTAATAATAAATTAAAGCCCATTTTCAATTTCTCAGCCTTTCAGGCAGAAACTCTAGTTGAGCTATGATGACCGGAAACCAGGGATTTGCCAGTTGCAAATAGGTTTTTAGTGCCTAATCAATAAGCCTCACTTGGCCAGTTAATTCACCAGAAATATTATTTTATAATTAGGCCACAGCTGTTTATCAAGCAAAAGAAAAACTGAAATCAATAGAAAAAGCAAGGAGGGGTGAGTATTTCTGTTTCATGGAATTTTAAAGTCACAGCCCAGTTTCTCTTGTGATCAGCGTACCTCCTGTGTTGAAGCTTTGCTCTGTAAATCAGCTATGTGATAAGAGAACATTTAAACGGTCACCAGTAAGAAGGGGGACTTATTTGGTGCCAAGTATGTTTGCATCCTTGTGACTACTGCTTAAACTGTCATATGACCTGATAATGGAGGAGCTGGTGCATGTGCAGCATTTTTAAGATTGTAGCCCAAATCCTAGAGACTGTTTTTCCAGCCATCTGTTCTTAAATCACCAAAGTAACTGCTTCCTGGGCATGGAAAGGCACTGATGTTTTCAGCATATCTTGACAGCATGACTTGAATACAACAATAGGTTTTAAAATACATTGTGATTTCCTCTTAACTTTCTCTGCTTATATGCATCAGGAACGTCTAAAGTCAGCAGTCTGTTTTTGTACAGATTTTCTTTGAAATAGGTCTCTGTGAATTCAGTGGGCCATACTTCCAAGGAAGTGTGCACAGGATTGCAGTATAAGTCGTATTGTATCAGGCACAGTATTCTTCCATAAATATGTTTTTAAAATGGGTATGTGTGAAACTCAGCTGTTTCTAGAGTGGGTGGTGGTATTCAGAATGCGTAAAAGGGGGCTAATAACAGTGTTGGCTTTTATCTCTTTACCAAAATGGGAATGCTGCTTCGCAGAGTCTAGGCAGCAGGCCCGTAGCCAGGATTTTTTGGATTGTGGGGCATATTTTTTTCTGGTGGGGCTGAAGTTCTCAGTGCAGAAAGAAAAGCCATTTAGCCAAGAGAAAGCTGTTACCAGGATAGATCTCTAAACTGCATACTGTCAGCCACTTTAGATGACAGTTCTCAGCTGCTGCAAGTTAATCACTTCTGCCAGCCTAAGCAACAATTCTGATAAGATGGCAGGTGGGGATGATTACTTCTATAGTCAAGAAAGCTAACACTTAGACAGAAAAAATTCTCTTTAAGGAGACCAGTTTCTTGACATAGTTAGAAGGGATCCTAGAGGTCACCTACTCCAACCCCCTTGCTCAGTGCAGGAATTAGGCAACTACAGCATACCACACTGCTTAAAGGAGTGCATACCTTTGAAAAATGTTTTAAAATGATTGAAAAAACCTTTTACAGGAGAAGCTCTTGTGGGATCATGCCTAAGAAAGGGGGCAGAGCCCCAAACGCTCCACCATAGCTATGGGCCTTCTAGGCAGCCTAGAACAAGAAGCTTATTGCTTCTAGTTTAATGGCAGAGTTAAGGCTTGCTATGGTTCCATGGTACACGGGCAGCATACACGCACAGAACCTTGCTGATTTAGGTCAGGGAAGAGGATGCCTCTATCTGAGAGCGGAGCTGCATTTTTCAGCATACCTGCGCCTGCCTCTTTTGGTCAGTGGCTCCGTTGTATTTTTTCTAGGTGGTTAGTATGGGGCCATATGTATTAAAGGTCAGTAGTACACTAAAGGTGCCCCACTGGATTAGACCAGTGATCCATCTTGTCCAGCATCCTGGCTCAAAGAGGGGATAGAGGCTAGGGTCTTCCCCTGATGTTGTCTTCTAGCACTAGTATTTAGAAGTTTACTGTCTGGATGTGGAGGTTCCCTTTGATCACTACAGCTCATAGCTGTTGATCGGTCACCGAATCTCCCTTTTAAAACCATTGACGCTCATGTCCATCACCGCACACACTGGCACTGAATCCCACCGTTTAATTGCTTGTTGAGGAGAAAAGGATTTCCTTTGTCTGTCCTGAATCTGTTGCCCATCAGCTTTGTTAGGTGCTCCCAAGCCCTAATGTTATGCAAGAGGGAGGAGAAAAAGTGGAATCAGCTGCCCGGGGAGGTGGTGAGCTCCCCTTCACTGGCAGTCTTTAAGCAGCGGCTGGACAAACCCTTGTCATGGATGCTCTAGGCCAGAGGTGGCCAAACTGCAGCTCGGGAGCCGCAACAAAATGTGGCTCTTTCACACATTTTAGGTGGCTCCCGGCAGGAAGCGAAGGGAAGGTGTGCCTCTCCCCAATCAGTCTTCCCTTCCCCAGCTAGTGTTCCCCTCCTTCAGTAGGCTTGAGGTGGGGTGGGAGCAGAGAAAGAAAGCAATTTTGACTTTAAATGTGTTCTCAAAGCCCCCCCCCCCAGCCTACAGGTATCATTGGATAAATAAATATTACCAATATCTGTTTTTACCCTTTTTGTTTTTATTTTTGGCAGTCTCATTTAATGTTAATAAAAAAGCAAATTGGCATGTTTTCCTGTAAAAACAGGTGTAATATTTGTTCATGTCTTGCAGCTCTGACGTTTAAACCTGACGTTTATTCTGTGTGGCTCTTAAGCAAGTTTGGCCACCCCTGGACTAGGCTGGTCCTGCATTGAGCAGGGGGTTGGACTAGATGGCCTGTCTGGCCGCTTCCAACTTTGTGATTCTCTGTCCACTTTCTCTGTGCATACTTTTTATAAACCTCTATCATGTACCCTCCCCGGTCATCTTTTTTCAAAGCCGAGAAGCCTTTTTTTGTAGGAAAGGTGTGCCAACCCCTTAAGTACCTCGGTTGCTTTCTTTTGCATTTTCTCCAGATCTGGGGGAGTACTGTGGAGCTGTGATTCATAAACTGGCCCATGGGATGCTGTCAGGTGTTCTGTAATAGTGAGACCAGCATTTAAAAAACTTGTTTTTCTTGAATGTAGTGGCAATGAATGCACAGAACGAAGGAAGCGACAGCGTCACTAGGACCGTGCGTGCTCTGTGGCACCGTGTTGTGCATGTCAGATGAATAGCATGGCCTAGCACGTCAGTGTCTCTGCGTGCACAAACTTGACCTCAAGCATAGTTCAGTTCATCTGCACAGAACCGCCAAAGGAAAAAAAGATAAGCTTCAGGAAGGGGTTGCGTTCACTGGGAAACCTTTCAGGCAGTCTCTTACCTGGAAGCTATCACATTACAAAGCGTGGCAGTTCACAGAGCTTGCTAGAATGGTGGTCAACAGTATTAGAAAGTTCAAGGGTCACTGCACGAGAATGGGAAATCAGTGGCTCGGGAAGTAGAGGAAAGCCCTGCAATGGCATTGCTGTTACATCTCAGCTCTTACATTCGTAGTCCCCTGAGAGAGCAGCCTCTGCTGGAGAACCGTGCATTGCAAAGCTGACGTGTCTCATCCTGCGGCCTTTTCCCCTCCCCCAGGGTCTGTTTCCTCCGAAGAAATAATCAAGTACGCTCACAGAATTAGTGCCAGCAACGCCGTCTGCGCTCCTCTCACGTGGGTGCCAGGTAAAGAACAAATGTCATCGATCAATCTTATTTTCACTGTCGATTGGATATTGTAAATGTTCCTTAACTCGTACAGAATGCTTGTTGCATAACTGTCTTTTAAGTGCATGATGCCCATAAGCGAGAGTTTCTAATGTGCCGTTCCAGTGCAGGGCTGCACTGGTTTGCCCCTGCCCCAGTAAGATGTGTTCTGGCAAGTATTTAGGGTCAGGCTGTGAATGGTGTTTCGCTTCATTTTCTGTCTCAGCCCCTGACTAGCTTCTGCTTTGGCCAGAAATCAGGGGAGAGAATCTTCCTGGTTTCCGGATCTGCCTTAGGCCAGAGAGCGTGGCCTCTTGGCTGTTCCTGTGCTCTGAGCCCAGAAGGAAGTGAGCCTGTCTCCCACCCAAGGCTTCTTGAGAGCCGGGGAGCAGATTTACAAGATTACCTTGTCCTGCCTTCTTATTTGCTCCCCCCTCCCCTGGGAACACAGCGCTCCTTGGCTAGCAGTGCAGGAGACTGAGCCTATTTCCCAGTCACTGAGGAGTGAGACAGTCTCTGGGCAGACACTTCCTCTTGGTAAATAACAGATAGGGTCTGCTTGGAAGAAACAAGAGAGAGAAGGGATTTGGTGTAGTGGTTAAGAGTGGAGGACTCTAATCTGGGAGAATCAGGTTTGATCCCCCCCCTCCACATGGAGCCAGCTGGGTGACCTTGGGCCATTCACAGTTCTCTCAGAGCAGTTCTCGAAAAGGAAATATTGCATGGATAATAGCAGTGATCCTTTAACCTGTTTCAAGAACCATCACCATTTCTTCAGTTCATTAGTTATATAGATGTGTTATACAAATCACTTACTAGATAGTTGCTGCATGGTTTAAATGTAAGTATTTCAATTGGGGGCTGTTTTTAGTTATGGCCGTTTCTGTCTGTTATTAGATTATTTATTAGGATTGGCATGTACCTAGCACTGTACAGCTGTTCCCTTAATTTGTGTATACTTTTACCTCTTTTCAATAAAAAAATTAAAATTTTAAAAAAAGAAGAAAGAGCTCTCTCAGCCCCACCTACCACACAGGCAATGTTTTCCCTCTAAGCTGAGTTAGTGTGAGCCAGCTCACAGTTCTTTAGCCTCTGGCTCACACATTTTTGTCTTAGCTCAGGAAGGAATGGCTCCAAAGCCAACTAATTTATGCAGCAGCCAAATCGCTCTCTCACAACTTTAATGCCAGTAGCTCACAAAGCAGAATTTTTGCTCATGAGACTCCACAGCTTAGAGGGAGCATTGCTCACAGGGTGTCGGTTGTGGGGAGGGGAAGGGAAAGGAGATTAAGCCGCTGAGTGAAGGGTGGGGTATAAATCCAATCTCTTCTACAACTCTCAGACCAAGCCTTGCATGTTTTCTGGTGGTGTTCTATCAGAATGTTTATGACACTATTGTCTTAGCTCTTTCCCCCCGCTTCCCCTCGCCTTCCACTGCTGGCAGAATAAGTCAAAATCAGTCAGAGAAGAGTAGGGGAGAAATAAAGCTGGTGCGCGGAATAGGTTTTAAAGGCAGAAATGGAAAGAGGGCTGTGGCTGCATGAAGAAATGGAAAGATGGGATGAAATTCTAGGTTTCTGATCAGGGAAAGGGGGCTAATTTGAGGGAGAAACAGGTTGGGGGGGAGGAGGTAGGCCAAGGCCCCTCCCATTCATTAAAATGAACTGCCAGCAAGTCCCACGGCCGCCTGTTGCAACACCTTTCTCTGTTTCTGCAGATGGCCCAGTTGATGGTACTTAAGCAGGTGAATTTGGCCCTAGGCTTTCAGTTGCTGATTGCTGTGAGACAGACAGACAGACAGACAGCAGGCTATGAGAGTTAGGAAGAAAACCAAAAACAGGTGGAATGAGAGTGAGAGAAGAAAATGCACATATTTTAGTGGTACTTAAGTAAAATCTGAGGTCCTGGCATACATTGTGGTCCTTCATAAGAAACATCCGGTGCCATCTAGAGAGATCAGAGTTTTACCTCCATTGATCATTATTTCATGTTTTTACCTTTTTAGTAGATCCAGTTAGGGCTTCAAACTTAGTTATGTGACTCATTTGAATAAATGGAGTGAGGCTGAACTAGGAATTGTAGGGATATTTGTTACATTTTGTAATCATTGTGCATAGCTGAGGCACGAGATTAGTTGTGTGCTGTTCGCTCCAGTTATACTGTGGAATCGTGCTTGTCATATGGATACTGTGGAGGAGGAGGGGTTGGTCTTTATGTCCCACTTTCTACTACCTGAAGGAGTCTCATAGCGGCTTACAATCACCTTCCCTTCCTCTCCCCACAACATACACCTTGTGAGGTAGGTGGGGCTGAGAGAGCTCTGAGAGAACTGTGACTGACCCAAGGTCACCCAGCTGGCTTCATGTGGAGGAGTGGGGAATCAAACTTTCATTGTGCCCATATATTTGAACATTTCCATTTATAGTAAAGCAGATGTCTCTGGTAATCGCATGGATGTATTTTATGTTACAAATCTTTGCCTAACTCCACTGGTAGGGATAGTATAGAATGCATCCTTCATTAACAAGCATGTTTTGTGTTCAAGCGTGGACAGGTGTTACAATGAAGAGCCTTCAGCAGGCATATTTACACAACGTATGTTTTTTTCATATGTGAACATATATTTTTAAGGGGATCCCCGAAGGCCATACCCAACCGATCTGGAGATGAGAAGTGGTCTCCTGGGTCAGATGAACAACCCGTCAGCAAATGGAGTCAACGGACACTTACCAGGGGATGCGCTTGCAGCAGGCAGATTACCAGGTAATGGGAAGCAAGAGGAAACACCAGACTCTTCTGTCCTTAGTAGTAATTGAATGAATGGAATCAATGCTGCCCAAGTGCTTGACCAGCACTTTGCAGAGACATTATGCACACTACAAAGGGGGTATGTCTCTTTTGGTCTCCCACCTAAGGCCCCTAGAGAGAGGCAGGAATCAGAGACCTACTGTCTCCTGGTAATTCCAGGCCAGGTATTGGCTTGGCGTAGGTATTAGCCCAATTTCCAAACCATGGATTGGCAACTGGGATTGCTTCATAAGCTCTCATACTGTTACCTTCCACTTTTGGATAAAGTTAACATTGGTTGCCCACTGATGTTTCCCCCTTCCTTCAGTTAGTACCGAACCATGGCAAGCAATAAGCAAACCGGTCTGAACAAACCATAGTTAGCAAAATGGCAATACAGCACAAACCGCATTTCTCGCCAAAACTGGTGGTGGTGGTGGTGAAATGCTGTTGCTAAGCCAAATCATGATTTGGTAATTGAGAATGCTCCCCCCACCCCAAATGCTGTCAAATAATGCATTTTGATGCTCGCTTTGAGTTGTTCTGTGAAACATCCAATTTGGATTAAATATTTAGGATGCAATGCAGCCTAAGCAAAGCGTGTGTCCTTCCTATTAATTGTAATGCGAAAGTCATACAGATCTTCCTTGGAAGTCAGAGGGACCTGGCCATGCTCTGTTTTCCCTGCCTTGTGCTTGACTTGGCTTAGGCCAGTGATGGCAAACCTTTTAGAGACCGAGTGCCCAAACTGCGACCCAAAACCTACTTATTGATCGCAAAGTGCCAGCACGGCAATTTAACCTGAATACTGAGGTTTTACTTTAGAAAAAACAACTCATACATTAACTTAAGATGATCCAAACAAAGGAAGGAAAGCAATCCCAAATGCTTTCATTTACTTAAAATTATTTGGCAGAGAATTCGACACTTTAATGATGGTCTGGGCCTGGCTGGGGCGATGGCACGTGTGCCCACAGAGAGGGCTCTGAGTGCCACCTCTGGCACCCGTGCCATAGGTTCGCCACCACTGGCTTAGGCCAAAAATGCCCTCTGCTGTTCCAGCATAGTTCTGTGAGTGCCTTGTTGGGAGCAAAGTCCCGTGTTATTCAGTGAAATGAAGTATCCCGAGGATTGTGCTGCAGGTCAGCAGTAGACCGGACTGAAAGCCGCACTGTGTTCTGTTTCCCCCCACCTCAGATGTGCTTGCGCCACAGTATCCTTGGCAGTCCACTGACATGTCCATGAACATGCTGCCTCCTAATCACAGCAACGACTTCATGCTAGAACCTCCGGGGCATAATAAGGAGAACGAAGATGACGTGGAGGTCATGTCAACAGATTCCTCGAGCAGCAGCAGCGACTCCGATTAGGAACTGCATCCGATTTTCGGACTAGCAAAAGCAGACTGTGTTTGGGACCCCGTTATATTGTTCGTTCTGACCACCGATGGGAGCTGCACTATACAGTGAGGAGCAGAAAGGACACTGGTGATTTTTCACGGATATTTGAACGAGTACTCACCAAAAACACCCTAATCATGGTTGGGGGTCTGGGGAGCGGAGATAACAGGGTGCATTTATTTTATCGTACGTTTGATAAAGTTCTAGGCCATAAAATGTAAGGAGGATCAACTAGAAGTTACAATGAATAAACTACTATTACATTTTCCTTGCTAGCACACGGAAACAGGGCTAAATATTAAAAGTTGTTGAAATTTTCCATGATGATTACTTGTCATGATTTAAGCGCCGGCCAGTTTGAAGGTGTTCATAGAGAAGGGGTCTTCTAATTTTTTGAACCTGTGGCCACATTTGTAACTGTGCCAGAGGGCGGTGGGCGCAACCACAGAATGGCTGCCGCAGGAGGCGGAGCCAGCCTCAAAATGGCTGCTGCAGACAGCGAAGTCAGCCACAAAACATTAGGTAGTGAGTTTATACATTAACTCTGATAGTAACTCTTCAGCATTTCAGACAGAAGCGCTGTTTAACAGGATGCCTTTTTTAAAATTGACATACTGTTAAAAATATTTCCTGCATACCCACAAAATAAGTATACATATTGAGCCAGCAAAGAAACTCTCATCTAGCATTACCTGTCTTCATTTTAAAGGCATCTAACACACTTGTCTGGCTTCTCCTCTGCTTCAGATAAGCCCTTCTCTCATGAGCTCAGCCATTTTCAGCCTGTATTATCACAGCAGTTGGTGTTTGAAGGACTGGTGAGAGCTTTATTGCCTATGTGATGTGTACAGTAAGAGAGATTCTGGCCAGATTTTGATAGGAACACACATGTTTTTTTTAAAGGTTACCAAAAGTTTATGTAGTGATGTTATCAACCTCCTCCTGAATTATTAAATCAAATTGGAAAGTTCTGATGACTCCAGGAGAAGTTCCGGTTAGGTACGTTAAGCATTTTAGTCAGACTGACCTATTGTATTTTGTCAGAAGGAAGTCCCATTGTGTTTTTAGAACATTGCTCAGTTATTTGCGCAGGCAAAGTACAAACACTATGGCTTCGCCGTAGTTCCATTGAGAAATTCCAATGAGTAGTTCCAATGAGCCACCTGTGGACAGTAGCCGGAACTGCAGCCAACACAGAGCCACGCGCCAAGACGAGACCTGCCGGAGGAAGCTGCTTGGGGAAGATCGGCTCCAGGAAGGGCACCAGGACGCCAGTATCTGAAGCCGCGGAAGGAAGCCAGATGACAACTAGCCCGGGGTGCTGGTAGGAAGTCACCACCAGTGTTCCCTCTAAGCTGAGTTAGTGTGAGCTAGCTCACAGTTTTTTAGCCTCTGGCTCACCCATTTTTGTCTTAGCTCAGGAAGGATGGCCCCAGAGCAAGCTAATTCATGCAGTAGCCAAATCACCTGCTCACAACTTAAATGCCAGCAGCTCACAAAGTAGAATTTTTGCTCACAGGACTCCACAGCTTAGAGGGAACATTGGTCACCACCCTGTAGGTAATGTGGCCCTAGTCAGGTTAATTGGTTGGTTAGAACCAGGGGTCATTTCATAGAAAAAGAGCTAGGGGAACTCATTAGCATA